TTTCAATTTATTAATGTTAAATTAATAAAGCAATATTTAAAAAATCAATCTGGATACGATAAAATAGTGGGTGATGGCGTAAAATCCAAATAAAAATTTTAATCTTTTCTCAAGGACAAGTTAATCTTACGAAAAAGTAGGCTAACTCCTAAGAAAGAAAAAGTATTTTCTCGACTAAACACATAAATCATATAATTTGCACGGAAATACTCAATTAAAATTACTCAATTTTTCCTCGAAACAAACTCTAATACTAGAAGCCAAAATAAATTATTTAAACAATCAACTTCTCCTATAAAATTTTCGTCGCGTAATTCGTCTTGTTTAATTAATTAATACAGTGCACTCTCGCTAATCCGGATTAATTATTTTTGGAAAACCAGAAAGATCAGAAAGGATTACAGGAAAATATGTATATTTATGCTAAAATGTGTGCTATATATATTAATTTTTCACATTTATTTTCGTTGTTGAAACATTTAGCCATATTACGAACAAAATCAGTTTCGGATTAGCAAGAATTGGCTGTAATTCTGATGGATAAGCTTCGATTAATTTCAGATTAAAAATTTAAAAAAAAAACCTTTTATTTGGTAATTATTACTTTAATATTTTGTATAGATTTTATAAACAAAGTGAAGATAAGTTAAAAGGATTCGACTACTGATGTTACTCTTAATTACTTCTCTAAAACATGTTAATTATTGTTGTTTACTGAAAACAATGCTAATTACAACTAAACAGTTTTTAAAATATTTTAATTAAGCAATGATAATTATATTTTAATTGTAGATAAATTCTAAATATTTATACTATGCAAATTAATCCTATTTTAAAAAACTTTAACAGCGTAATTAAGAAGGGTTTGTTATATTAAAACCATATTTTCGATTTCAAAATTTCCTCTTTTTTTTTTAAATTTTATTTTAAAAGATTTTTGCATGTTTGTGTCAGCAATTAGGAAAATTTTTCGCACAGTTTCTATTTTAGGGTATACATATTTTCCTTTTTTTTTTTTTAAATTAAAAGTGTGCAGACATCGATTAACTTTCCCTTACACTTCTCTCCTCTATATCTCGAATGATAAATTCTTTCAATCGACACGAAACAGCAAAATAAAGATAAGCTTGAAATACGTTTTCTGAATTTTATATGGTTCATTTCATTCAAAATAAGAGGTCTAGTTCCTTCATAAGGACATCAGTTCTCGGTTAGAAAAAGGCAACGATCAAGATAAATTATCAAACGGATATACTAATGATTATGACAGGTCAATGTATGCTGGGGTGTCATCTTAGTGTCTGTTCCCCTTCAAGAAGAGATATCACCCAAAATAAATTGAAGTTTAATGCCTCGGGTAGGGTCACAGTATCCTCCTAGGCATAACTGTTCGATAGAAATTACAAAGATGCCTTATTTTCAATCCGAAACACGGAATTTTCCACTTTGATGCCTCTAAAGGTGATTTTTTATAGTAGAGCAAGAATATATTCATCGCTTTTTTCCCCCACAAATATATATATATGTAGAGAGAGAGAGAGCCTATATAAATATATCCATTTTTATATTTATCGCCTCGATTCGCAAGATAATTTTCGCTTCCATTCGTGCAAATTTTTATATTCGCAACGGAATAAATAAAATTTGTCAATTTTTTGGAGAATTTCCATAAACGAAATTTGATAAGTTTTTGTATAGAATATTAAAAAGTTGGGAGAAAAGTTATTTTTTAAATGTTTTTACAACAATCGAAAATGACGTTTATAAAAACTTGTTTCGTACGTGCATAAATTTTTATATAAATTATGACTTACATCGGCAAAACAATAATATTTTTATATATATTCTTTATGGCTCACGAATAAACATTTAATATTTAAATCCTCTTACGTCCCTGAACGAAACAATTCTCAAGAGATACTCTAAGTTAATTTTTTAAGAGTAAAGAATTTACTCCAACGTGATCCATTTACTTAAATTAAAATGGCAACTAAAATAATAAATACGTAATAAAAATAACAATGTTTAATAGGATTAAACTGAGTAATGAGACAAAACAAAAGTCTAGTCTTTATCCTGTGTTTAATTCGTAGAATATGCAACAGCTAATATTATTTAGTGTTACAACGTTTATTAATTGCCGTTTTTAGGAAGTTCTATATTTGATTCCGCCTCGATTCTACTATGAAAAAATCTGTAACAGGGATTTTTTTTATCCCTCCATAGTAGTGAACTATCTGAGTATGCATGTCATTCAGCTCCTCCTCGCTATTTAATGCACCGAGAAAGGTCACTAAACTCCGCCCAATTTCGTGATGTCTCAACAGTTTATATCCACTTTTTTTTAGCCTAGGCGAACACAATTAATTAAATAATACATCTATCCATAGAAATATTCCCTTCTTGTATAAAGTTCAACTAGAAAAACCGAATACCCTAAATAAAAATCAAACACAATTATCCCATCGACCCGAAGAACGTAGAGAGGTGAACAAAAATTTACACCTCGAGACAAAATTCGTTGCCAAGTGATGTAACAATCTGCCAGTTCCCAAGCGTGACGTCACAACCTCATTCACAACTAAGATATAAATAGAAGCTCGGAGTAAGGGATGTAATGACGGTCAACGCTACAAGCAAAGTATTCAGAACTTGGACAGAATGCCGAACAGAAAGGACTTTAACAATAAACCACAGCACAAAAGATATCAGGAGACTAAACATTGGCATGGCGCCATCTTTGTTACAAGCCAGTTACTGGAAAAGTGGATCTCCATCAAATAATTTAACCGAATAAATGATCCCAAGTTTAGTTATTGTCTAAACAGAAGTAGGAGCTACCGTTTTTTCGGTTCAGTAAATTTTTAAAAGACATCTACCGGACCTTGACAAACTAGTTCGTGATGGGACTTTAGAAAAGAAGGAGATTCTCGCCCAAGAGATAGCCAATTGCCGGAAAATGTCTTCAAGCCTACTATATTTTATAGCTTAAATCCTGTCTGTAGTAAAAATGTAGGAACCCAATTTAAAGAAGAAAAAAGAATGTTATTTATTTTTCATTTTTTAAATTAAAACTTTATTCATAAATCGCGAAATACAGTTAATGACCTATATATTGTAAGCATATAGTAGTTAACATTTCTTTTATTTTTCTTTTTAATCCTGATTTTCGAGTTAAATTCTTAAGATAGTTCAGTTAACAGATGTTAAATCGATTCTGATTAGAAGAAAAAAATCGGGAAATTATTATCTATAAGGATATAGACCTACATTGATTTCACATATGACAATCAAATTATCTTATTAAAGTTACTTTGCAAAGTTGGATGGTGCCAGGCTTTAAAAGTGTCTTTTGTCTTTATTTTATTATATAAATTTGACTCTTCGCAGAATTTTATCATTTTGTTGCCCTTGAAGATCAATTAATTGAACTTTTAAAACATTTTACAAGGAAAAAAGTATATAAAAATATATTTTTTATGACTAAAGATGGATACAGATAATTTTTATGTCATAAGTGAATTTATGTCATTTTATTAAATTTAATTTTTTTTCTATTAAAAAAATAATGCGTTAAAGTTTAAAACAGTGGAAAAAATTCTTGGAATGAATTGTAGAGATAAAACATTAAAAATATATATATTTTTCTTTTTTAGTGTTTGGTTCTTCTTTCCCTTCTCGAATGAACAATTCAGATAACAATCAAAAGAGGAAAATTTGTACTTTTAAAATATTTAGGACAAGAGGATTCAAGAGAAAAATATTTTACTCTGTCTGTATGACTAAATAAATTATAGGTTTTCGGTAGTTCTATTATATGAGGCCTACTCCGACAGACAGCACTATAATCTTCAGACCGGAAGTTCTATTATCGGCTGCAATTGTCTGGTAGCGGAAAGACGATCTTCCCATTCAATCTCCACCTGGATGACCTCTAACCCCTCTGAATTGACCTCAGACAGATGGTAGAGGCGAACTACTACTGGGTCAGTTCGGAAAATACAATCACCTTCTCCCTTTGTAACATAAAACCATTCAGTACCCCACAGGACTTGCTAGGTATACTATGGAGCGTTACCCTCGCCCGCTTGGTTTCTCTTCCTGTTTATTATAAAATACATAACGCCAACTATGTATTATTAATTATTTACTGCACATATTGTAAAGTAAGGACAGGTAGAGTAGGAAAAGAGACGTGGGCCAAGGTCAGCAGCTTGTAGCAGTAGCCAGGCAGCCCACAGTTCTATCTGGATATTCGCGGTTGGGTGGTTTTGCAGTTCATTTCGTTGGTTGAGATAGGCAATGTGGGTGGAATTTTTTACACGCAACTAGAAATCATTAATAAATCCTAAAATATATAATTATTTACCAAAAATATCTATATGGCCTCATGACTAACGAGTCATAATCCAAACAATATACAGTATAAGAATTACATTTCCAGAATTTATTATATTATTCTTCATGCATTTGTTATTTTTACCGATTCAATAAATACATTCATAGAGTAAACTCATGTAGGTGTACTTTGTATTGCATCCACAGGTGTCAATACACATTATAAGAAGTAAAAGTCCGTTAACTGTACTCGATAAGGGATTTTATCGTACAGAAACTATACAATATTTTCAAGTGTTTATCATATTTTAAGTAGATAGATACAAGTTGGAGTATCTTAACCCTTTATCCTCCCCGCATACCAACGCTTTATCCACCATCAATCAATCAATTGTTGTCGTAATCTTGATAAAACGTCCATTTTACTACGTTTTATTAACAGGAATAAATTTAACAACTTACCTGTAAAAAAAAACAGCGACACAATACAAACACTCCTAGACTGTTTACACCATGGCGGGAATAGATGGGGGAGGAAGAGGGTTCGAGAATCACGATGACGTCACCGACAATGCTACCTGCGCTGTGGGACTTTGACCGCCAGATTCATTTTCTGATTACCTTACCCACTATATACTGAATGAATTTATATATGCACTTACCTGATGAGACATATATCGTTTCGATGTCATCGTAAGGTTCGAATTCTGAATTGGATCCGTTGACAATATTCTACTTTAGTTTTGCTTGGGCGAGGCTATACAAGCTCCACCGTTTCTCAACTATTGTAGCTCGACGTGCTTGCCAGCTGCACCAGTAAATGGGTCTCTTCCATTCTCGTCACTAGGGGGAGATTAGCGAGACGTGTGTGGTGAAGGGGTAAAATCTATTAGGAATTAGATGAGGCTTAGTTGGAAGAAAGAAGGAAATACATTAATTCAATCTTGCTCGGTTGTATTAGAATAAATTTGGATTTTCTCCATTCTCGATGCATAAATCTAGTGATGTGTTTGAAAATATTCATTTGATAAGGCAAATTGGGTAGGGGAAAAAAAACACTATTAAGCGGTTGATGTGTTATTATTCAGTCAAAGGAGCCGAAGTATTTTTATTTTGTTTACATTTAAATCTATTTATTTTAAAATTATAAATTTTAATTGAGACAATTAACAATTATTATTTTTTTCTTAACTGAACTTTTAACTTATAGAAAGAAAAATAAGAAAATAAAAAATAAAAAAATAAAGTCAATTTATTTTAATTCAATTTAATTTCGTTTATTTTCATACTCGATGTGTAATTTATATATTTTATTACATTAAAAAAACGAAAATTGTTTTTAATGCTATTTTCATCAAACGAATGTCATTTACTTAAAGGTAATAAAATGTATTTTTATTATAAAATGTCAATTTTGTTANATAGTTTTAAAAATCTGCGAAATAATATTTTTATTATAAAATGTCAATTTTGTTAAACGAAGAAAATAAAATTTCTTCTTATTATTTTTTTTCCTTTTTTTTTGTTTATTTTTTTTAAATTCAATTTCGATAATATAAAAGTACAATATTTACTGTAGCCTTCAGTTTATGTTGTAAGTCCATAATCCACAAATGAAAATTTTGAAATGTTTGCGAAATTTATAAATTTTAAAATGTTTATCACGTGCTTAAGAACACGTGCCATATAATAAATTTTATTTTGCTGATTAATTTTGACATTTCCGAGGTTATAATTTTCTAAAATATTCTTTGCTATTATTTAAACTGTGCAACATTATTTTACGACTTCAACTAATTAAAATTCACTCTTCGAAAAGGAATTTCCTTCCTACTCTTTAAGGAAAAATTGCATTTTTCTGATCTATTTTTTTTTTAATTCTTTTCTTTTATTTTCTTTTCTGTTACGATCCAGTTTACAGAATAATTTTGACGGTAAAATTACTCGTGCGATAGTACACGTAGGCTGTAAATCTATTGTATATATTTTATTTACGTACCATATTTTCTTAGAAAGATGTCGAGTTAGTAAAGTAGAAAATTTAGATTTTTTTTTTTTAAGAATAACAATACTTTAACGATGTAAAATATCTTGAATGCTTTATATTCTTCACTATATTTCATATTTTTGCTTGTAAAAATCGGCCAATATAGGCCACGTTATGTGTAACAAGTTGCAAACGACATCCAGATTGTCAAAGTGACAAACGATGACAAGGCATAAATACAAACCTTAACGAAGCATTTCCTGAGTTATTTGTCACATTTGCTTCTAAGATTACACAATAATCCCAGTGTTCTCTATCGTGATGTCATCAATATCCACTATCAGTTATGCTTAATACATATTCGAGCTTAAAATAATTAAGTTGCATTCTAGTTCTTTGCAAAGTTGCAGAGATGGAGATAAATAAGAGCTTTTCTTTAGAATTTACCATCGAAATAACATACCAACAGAAGGTTCTATATAGGTCGTCACCTGTTAGAAAAATCGATTAAAATTTGTATTCGAAAAATGTATTTGGTTCAGTTAGTTTATTAACAAATATTATGGAGGATTTTATGATACAAATGCAGTTTAAATGTTTACATTACACTCCATAAAAATGGGTTTAATTATGATAAAGGGAGTGGCAATTGTAGAAAAGAATGCGGTTTATTTCAACTTCTTTTAAGGGCATGTTCTTACAGATAAAAATAATTGTTTTTAATCGTTTGTTTTCACTCAACTGTAGATTTATGCTGTAAGTTTAATTGCAGTTTTCTATTATGGAAGGCTGACTTCACTCACGAAGAGATTACCTATTTTATGTACAGTAATTCAGGAAATATCGATTTTCAACTTGTAGTTTCCTCAAATTTGTAAATTAACCAAAGTTTTATTATTTTAAAACATATTATATTTCACTATTACACAATTATACATATGTTCGACCTCATTCACCTTCTATAAAATATAATAAATTTTGATGTCTCATCTATAGTAATATACCACGATTACAACATATGTTAGAATAGAATATGACTTAATTCTAAATATTTATTTCCAATTCAACCTCTTTATGAACGTGACAATGGTCCTCCACGCGTCGTTAATTCGTGAGACGTGACTTGCAGACACAACGAGCTGAATTACTTAATTCAAGAAGAATTTAACATGTGGTCTTATCATATGATATAGGAATATTAGTGATCAGTTTTAGATGACGTAAGCTTATCATATATCAAAAACAATAAGTGCTAAGTATATTTATCTGTAAAAATGTATAAAGTAGCCATAACTATGTTTAATTGAAGGAAAAAAAATCAGTTTTATCGTAAATATGGTAAGCTATTCATTTATGTAACATAATATCTGTAAGGTCATATAGATCTCCTTACAAAACAGTTATTTTTAACTGAACGTTGCCTTAATTTATGTTATATTTGCATAAATTTCAATACAATTTAAACATTTAAATTGAACTTAAACATTGTTTCTTATTTCATATAATTATTTATGCTATTATTTTTTTAAATATAATTATTTAAAATCTAGTTCATGAATAAATACACGAATCAACTCAGGAAAAAGCTAGATGAATAAGTAAATCTGACGGAGCAGCTAGACAAATAGAGATTTAGGAAAGAGTAGATAAATAGATACAGTTTCATTAATGACTAGTAAAAGTGATATATTACATTAAAATATATTAAAAAATTTATATTTAAGATTAGAAAATATATTATTTTTTCTGTTTATCATATAGTTTCTTTAATTTGTTCTCATCAAAAATTCATAAAGTGTCAATTATACTTTCATTTTTATTCTTTAATTAATGTTTAATTTGTGGAATAATTTGATATACAGTGACCCACTAATGTCATTTTTATTACAGTCATTCCACTTTTATTCTATCTAAAAAGCACAGCATGCAGGTTAATAGAAATAGGGTTGCAGTACCGGTTGTTACATAGCGCAACTGTTTAATAATAAATAAAATAAAATTAATCTTTAATCTCAAACAATGAATAGAGAAAAGATTAAAGTATTTAAAAAAAACAAACAAACAAGAATTTAATATTCTTTAAAAGTTAAAAGCTTTATAGATTCACAGGTGGTATTTTTCCGTTAGAATCAATTTATCAATGAAGGAAAAGTAACTTTAGATGCTGACTTATTGTGGATGATAAATTATCATATGGTTTGTTTATTCTCAACAGAATACTGGTTCTCATGATGAAATGAAACGGGTGTGTTCTTGTCATGTGATATACGTATACCTTAATGAATATATGCAGTGATGATTTAGAGAGAAAGAAAGTTTGGATATGTTTGTATATTGAATTAGATAAACTACACAAAAATGAAATATACACTACGTATATACACTGTACATATATTGGTTATGTCGAGAAATACTATTCCCCCTTTGGTATTTAAATATAAATGGACTACTTTCGTTTGATTTATTTTTCATTTTTATTTTATTCAAAAATAAATTAATCCTAATTTAGGAGATTGATTATGCCTCGGTTATGATTAGTTGCAATGTTTATTTAACGATTTTTCTCAAATAAAATGTTTACTTCTATTTACAGTCCAAATTCTGATTTAATACTAATTTTAATTGAATTTAAAATGTTTTCTTGTTATTTTTAAAAATCGATATATTTTTATATCAAATTTTATTTAATTAGTATATATTTTTTATTATATTTTTTAAATATTAACTTAAATAAATTATTATTTTTTTTTAATTAAATGCGTTTTAAAGGAGAAAAATTCATAGTTATATGTATTTTTTTTTTCTTATTCAGCTTTATTTCTTATTTTATTACTTAACTTTCTGATTTTAATATACTTCAAGATCTAGGTCTAGATTTTGAAAATTGAAGAATTTTTCTTTATACTTAATACTCGAGTTTAATAAACATCGACAAGTTTTGTCACTCAGGTAGATACTTTATCTTTAAAACGTGACCGAATTTACTGTATTTTGAACGTTTTTTTCCAGCAACCTTATCAGATTTTTTACCGTTTAAGATCATAAAAAAAATCTCGTACGCTTTGACTATTCGAGAAACGATAAGTTTTAAGGCTCCTTATTGGTTGAAAGATTTTCAAAAAGGAGCTTAATACCAGAGCAAAGAGAATTTGTCTCGATATTTATTAAACGATTTTGTTTGTTTAAATACTTACTTTAATACGGGACTTGGCGATCGAATCGACTTTTTATTCCGTCGTAACGTTATTATAAAAAGTTCAAAAGTGAACCATAAACCAAAAACGATCATTCTAAAAAAGTATTTTGTCACTTTTTAAAACCGTTTTCTCGCATGAAATTTACAAAAATGTTAATGTTTTAGGCTTGGTTTACTTTTTAAAAATTTTATATGCATATCTTTTTATTTTATTTATAGCAGAAAAATGAAAATCCAATATTTCTTTTAACTCCTCCAGTTCCGAGATCACCCTCTCTAGATGGGCATCTTTAACAATCCCATTATAGGTTCGGCCAGGCCCACAAATGGGGCGACAGGGTGGTGTTGGATAGGGCCCGACATATTCGAATGGACTACTCTCGAAAAACTCGAGTTTTTAGACCCGTTTGGATTCTATCCCGGACCCCCAGAATAGTAAGCTGCCATCATAACCTCTCGGCCATCCGGCCGTGTGAATTTAATATTAAATTAATAAAATATTAAATTATATTTTTTCAATTTAAAAAAAAAAAAACTTAAATTTAAACATAAAATAAATAATTTTTTAAGTAAAAAATTCGTCTGTATATTAACTTATCTTTACAAATTTAATTTGCCTATATAAAGATAATTAAATAAATATATATTTTTAAAAATTAT